ATTTTTCTTTATTAATGGTAATGCCAATATTAGCCATTTCCCTACAAGGAAACATTTGGTATTCACTGACCAAGCAGCCAGTACTGCTTTTGATTAAAATTTATAAAATTGTTCTCTTAAAACTATTTTTCAGGAAAACAGGTTTCTCAATTCCAATAGCTGTTATATCTCTTTCCATATTGATCGAGTAGGTCTTCTCAATTTAAGCTTGTTATAAATTTCACTATTTAAAAAACGCATGTGTACCCACGAAAAATAACCATTAAAGCAATGTAAAATAATGTCAGATAAAAAAAAAATCCTTGAAAAAATTACTGTTGCTTATATTTCAGGTTTGAAACTGAAATTCGAATATATAGATTTGTGAAAGACCCAACAAGAAAAATGTCCTTTTATTAAATATGTAATTGCAACCTGACCCTAACATGCTGGTCTGCATGGCCAAAGTGGTAGAGGTACACTTTGATTCAACAAGTTGTTTCCCTGAGGTAAAGAAAGGATGCAGTTTCGATGTGTGCGCTGATTGCACTAAATATCAAGAGGTCAGTCTGTAAGTGAGTGTGGTGTATGTGCACCACAATATATATATATATATATATATATATATATATATATATATATATTTATATATATTTATATATATATATATATATATATATATATATATATATATATATATTTAGATATAGATATATATATATTTAGATATAGATATATATATATTTAGATATAATAGGCTGATGAAAGAAATTTGAGAAATGAAAAACAAAAAAATAATATTATTAATAAAACTAATAATATTTATTGTATATTAGTTGGCTGTTTGACCAAATGATGATGACAAAGATTTTAAAAATGGAATTTTTGGACATGCCTATGTCCTTTTTCAATGAGACAAGATATGAAAAATGATGTGTGATTCTGGGGAATTCCCCAAAAAAGAAAATCTCACTTTATTTTGTATGTCATAGTCAGTGATTAATGATTCAAGCTTTTCATTCAACATGTTTTCAGAAACTCCATTTTATTCTTCAAACTGGCTAAGATAAAGACAAAGAGGTTTAGTAAAGTGGTAAGTGTTACTTGGAGCAATAAAAGCGAGAATGTTGTGGAGTGCCACGATTGTCAATGTCCTGAAGGAAGAGAACATATCAAAAAAGTTTTGCTAAGCAGTTTGATAAAACAGTACAAAGTCATTGTTGGTATTCTTTATATCTTATTATCTATGTTTCTTCTTGATTTATGTCTTGTCATGTATTTATAGACTAGAAACATGTTAACATTTATAGTGTCATTAACATTTATAGTGTCATTAAATACAAGTCATCCACTTTGTACAGAGTATAAAGTGCATGAGTTGAATTTAATGACACTATAAATATTAACATGTTCCTTGAAGAAATATCTTGTTTTTAATTTGATTTCAATTCTCTAAACCCTTTTCTTGAAGATATAAGTAAAATGTCTCAGTAAAGCAGAAAGCAATTGCACAGAGTTATCTCAGTGGAATTGAAGAGGTTGAGAAAGATAATCAAAATACTAACCAAAGAAAACGTGAACTTGTAAGCTATGATGAGCTATGCTACTTGGAGACTGAGAGCAAAAGAAATCAAATTCTTGCAAAAAAAAAAATCAAATCAAATCAAAGGAAGATATAAATTTGAAGAATCTTTAGAATTCAAACATTTCAGATAAAGTTTTTCTTTTTTGCTGGCCCATCAGATACAGTTTTAGGTAATCAGACTTCTATTCATGATATCAGCTCAGTGTAATATTTTGATATGTTTTTATAAAGAAAAGTACATAGAAAAGACTGGAAAATAATATGTTAAATAATGCATAATACACACTATGGCAACATTTATACACAAATTGACAATGTAGCAATGGGATCAGCTATCTAATTTCTACATATGTCATGTGGAAAACAAATTCTTATATATTTATTTTGAATCCATTCTTAAAGAATCTAACTTATATCTAATACAAAGAATACATTCTTAAAGAGGTTAGCAATAAATTAGAATTTTGTGACACTTCACTGTGCTGTTTGACTGCACAAAGGTGAAGATAGAACACAATTACAAATACACATTACCACCCAATGTCCACTGAGACATACAAGAATCTTCACAAACCTATATACACATAGATTTATCTACAGTTTTTTCAAGATACATAACACATATCTGAACAATGTGAACTGACTCAGATATAATTGAAAATACAAATGTTCTCTGTTTTTTGTCTGTTTTCTCTCAATCTCTGACAAAACTTTAATAAAAGTGAAACATGTTAGATTGATATACATTTCCTACTTGTTCTTTATTTTATCATTCTGCTGAATTCTGATCCATATTTGATCTGCATTTGATTTTTAATGATTATATATATATATATATATATATATATATATATATGAGATAATGATAATATATTTCTATATATCAAGAACAATATCAGGAAAAAATATATGACAAAGAGGAAAAAGTTTTCTTGTGATACATTACATCCTGTAGAAATTCATCAGACTAAATTTGTTATGTTGGTGCAACTACACATGCACAAATGGGAGATGCTGGGAACTTTGAATTTTATATATATATATATATATATATATATATATATATATATATATATGATAAAAATATAATTTTATGCTATGCAATATTTATGGTTAAAGTGCACAATATCAGAGATAGAGCATATATAAAAATGGACAATGAGGTCAACACAAATGGCCTGAAGACTGTGTTGACACATGAAACAGACTGTCGCCACTTAGTGTTCACCTCATTTTTTACTTTAACATATATCTATATACATATGGATTTGTCAAGAAGCCCATAATCTAATAATGAAAAATAACATTATTCATACACAAATATTTTCCAACATAATCTCTTTCATTGTTTATGCAGTTAATACTTTTCCATAGTACCTGTCATAGACAAAATATTTTGATCAGATTTTTACTTTTAAATATGAACTAAATTTTGAAGAATTTCAGATCAAAATTCAGTTCATAACTGTGTCTAGTTATGGACTTATTGATCCACATTCAACAGAAAATAAATTTGCAACATTCTGAAGAACAATGTAAATTTTGATTTGGGAATGGTATGTACATGCGAGGAGCTGGCAGATATTTTCAATTTTCA